TTTGTGCTTAAGGTGCGCGGATTTTGTGCTTAATGAGAGTAGTTGTTGAAACTTAAGGTGCGTGGTTTTCTTTCTTAAGGTGTGTTGTTTTCCTTCTTAAGGTGCATGCTTTGTATGCTTAAGGTGCGTCAGTTGTGTGAAACTTAAGGTGAGTCATTTTAAAAATTTAGGTGCGTGGTTTGTGTTCTTAAGGTGCTTTGTTGTGTGTTTACGATGCGTGGTTTATGTACTTAAGGTGAGTGGTTTGTGTTCTTAGGGTTCTTTGATTGTGTGCTTAAGGTGCGTGGTGGTTTGTGTAGCCATTTTAATGCTTAAGGTACACCTGAACCCTTCCACACACACACACACACATATAAACCATTCAATTTTTCGATTCAGTTCAGTTTTTAATTAAACTGAACCGAAACCATTCGGTTTATAAAATATAGAACCAAACGATTTTTAATAATAAATCAAAACCTAACCGTTCAATTCGGTTTCGGTTTGGATAACCCCAACTGAATTGTCAACCAATACTTTTAGTGCACATTCCTGATCAAGATTCCACTCTCATTTTACTTGATGATACATAATTTGTAGTGACATTATGGCTTTGTGGTATTCTTATATCAAAACTTGTTACTGATAGATAAACCCCAAAACGAACACCCGGCCAGGAAGATGGGCCCAGGCGGTCAAGTGTGAACGTGATACGATACTTAGAAAATGGGCAATACCCGATATTCCAGAAAGAGTACTCGGAGACCATAACAAGTCAGCTCCCAACGACCGACCGCCAGGAAAGATGGTTGTCAGCCCGGGCGAAGGTCAGTCGGCTCGAGTAATGCGGTCAGCTGCGTCAGCCGGTGTGTCCCCGACCAAACGCCTTACAGAATTCGCACGGGCGACCAGGCTCCGCAGACAGCGTGTCCCAGACTGGGAACCATCCAGGAGATCAGTGAGGCGACCAGGCTACGCGGTCGCGACGTCTTCGCCCGAGCACCGCGGCCCCCCGAGGGCATCTCCTCAGCAACCATAATACTCTGCGACCGAGTACTCCCCAAAGGCGGTTACAAACATGTTCCGCGGAGATTTACTTTCCTCATTTAATACAAGTAGCATCCTTTATTAGTTTAGGCAGCTAAGGCGTAATAAAGGTCAGTTTCCATAGCCAATTCGGCCCTACGCGTCAGTCCTACTTTCCTTGTAGATTTTGACTCTACGCTAACCCTAATTTTCCTTGTACGAGTTTTATGTCCTTGTATAAATATCCCCCCGGGATCATTGTGCAAGGGGGATCAATCATTTTTGGCTTCTTTTGGCACTTAACCGGTCGAAGCCCTAGAGAAATAATATCGCATTATTCTCTCCACTACTTTATTCTCTATTCACAATAAACTCTCGTTTATAGTATTTTACGGTAGTGTTGGCCCGCCGACCGGCACTTGAAACTCGTAAAACCAACAGTTACTATGCGTATGTTTCTGTTAAATTGCGAATTGAATGGATTGTATTAACACAATAATGCGTCATGAATTTTTCGTTTGTTATTTGTCAATTATAACGGTAAATTAACGGACTTTGGAATGAAGGACTAATGGTGGCAATCAAATGAAAGTCAGTGATGTAATATGACAAAATTAAAAGAATAATACTAAATGTGGCAATAATGTTACAATAATCGAGGACTAAAAGTGTATTTTCTCTAATAATACTAATAATAATAATAATAATAATAATAATAATTATTATTATTATTATTATTATTATTATTATTATATGGACAATTAAAAATGAATTGACATTCATAACTCGCATGGGCAACTCAATTGGTTATAAGGGTGAAGTTTGGGAAGAAGAATGAATTGACATGCATCCATAATTAGGACGTTAATCCAATAGTAAAGCTGGATATATTTCCCCCAACATCAATCAATTGTCAATATAATGGTAATAGCATCACAAAATTGGCATATTCTTTGATATGATTGTTTGAAAAACCGAGCAAGAATTGGTGAATGGAAAATAAGGTTGGCATCAATCGTAGGCTAGAAAACAATGATTGTATAAACACGTGTAATAGTAACAACTTCAAGATCTAACAAGTCCCATATGCATATGCATAGTAAATACTAATCTCCCACTCAACAACCAATTCTACGGTCCAGATGCTGCCAAATTTCGCTGCCGCGGACGCGCAATCCTTTTTTTCCCATTTTCCGATCCACTGCCTTGCAGTTTCTTTCTTCTTTCCTTTTCTTTCCTTCCTCCCCAAACAAACAAAATCAACAAGCTAGATTAATCAATAATGATGTTTAACTGTTTAAGTATTAAAAGTGGTCCCATATTGTCCATCAATATTCAATAAGGTGAGGCTGGATAACAAGTGAAGTTGAAAATCTTACAAATTTATATATTAAAAAATAATTTCTGAAGTGACATGTCAATTTGGATTTCTATAGCACTCAGTTATGACCATTTGTAATTTAAATCTTTAGTTATTTGGGATTGATTATATTAGTCCTTCAATTATTATTAAAGTGGCAGGATTTGATCTCTCGATGATTGGTTACTTTATCAAGTAACATATTGATGCTTAATTTGGTCCTTACGAGATTAATTCTATCACTTTATTTATAATTGAAAGTCTAAATCTATAATTCCAATAATTGATAGAATAAATCTACAATTCAGTCAAATTTGAAAGACTAAAATTGTCATTTTTCTTATGAGTATATACCTATCAACACAAATGCACAATTGGCTTGGTAGACCTATCAACAAGAATTCCCCTAGATAGATTGGATGCTCGAGCTCATAAACATTGTACATGTTTTGACACATCTAAAATTATAGTGAATTTTAATTTGACATCACCTAAAAAAGTACATGAATTTTAACTTTACAAGTTCCATCTATTTTCCATGTCATTTAATATTTATTTATTTATATTTTAAAGTTTGTGTTGGGTCAACCTTGATAAAATAATTAGTCCATTCGTGAGAAAATTAAATATTAAACAACAAAGATACATTAAATAGCTAAATACATTGTCGTCAAACGGCATAATTGTGACTCTCCCAAATGAGACTCCAGTGGGGGCATTGACTCTTTGTGTTTCAATACGTTGAAAAAGTATGACATTGACTCTTTGTGTTTCAATAGGTTATGAACAAATACTACATTGTAACAAAGTCAATAGTACTTAAAAATGAAAATGGAAAACAATTTTTGAGGACAAATGTATAGTACTAAAAAAAAAAAAGGGAAAACATAATACTTTTGAGAACAAATGTTTACTTTTATATTTTGATGTAAAAGTATTACTTTTTCATCAAAAATCTTATATTTTCCCTTATAAGTAATGTTGCACTTATAAAGGAAAATGTAATACTTTTACATCAAAATGTAAAAATATTACATGTTCCTTCAAAAGTATTACATTTCCATATATATATATATATATATATATATATATATATATATATATATATATATATATATATATATAAGCAATAAAATTTTTTTCCTGATTTAGTAATACATTTACTAGTATAAATATTACATTTCATCTTGACCTGACCTATCTCACAGACAAGAATTCTTGATTAGGTCTCACACAAGCTTTTGTCAAATGCCAATTACCATATTTTTTTACACAAAATATTGAGTGTTATATCAAATCTGATGAGCCTAATACTGTCCCAAATAATGATATATGTTATAAGTGTTACATTTTTTTAATCTTTATTATTAATTTGATCTGAATTAATTAAATAAATCAAAAATATCTATCATCTAGAACAATATTCTATTCCAGTACCTCTTTTATTCATTTAATTTCTAAATTATATTATGTTCATAATTTTATAAATCTTTTCTGAATATGATACATACCTTATGTTCTATATCTACTCTTTATCTTTTATTCTTTTCCAATTTAGGATAATTCCGTTATTATTTTTTCTTGATCCAATGAACTTGTACTAATTCAGATCAATGAGTATATTTCCTTCACCAATAATAGTATAACATTCATCAATACCTAATAATAAGATCTTTTTTAAACAAATAAATATTAAATTAAATACCTTAACATAAAATTACTATTCCCTTTTTAAAATTATTACCCCTTTATATGATTTTCTTTATAAAAAAAATCAGTAATTACTCATAAAATAGTCAATCTTACCCCAAGCTAATAGAATAAAAGATAGTTACTCACTTACTCGCAACTGTAACTCAGTTGGTCATAAAGGTGAAGTTTGAGAGGATCGAGTCTCACCAGCGACAGTGTAGGGTTGTCATGTGTTTTATCTCAATTAAAAAGCTAAGCTAATAGTTAAACAATATATTTATATTTATATATTATATATTCAACAATAGTAACATATCTTATTTATTTTATTAAAAATTGTGTAAAATATAATCATCATCTCTAAAATGGGACGAAAAGAGTAAAAGTAACATTGAAAAAATGAAAAGTATAAGGTGGAGTATTAAAGACAAGGCAGCCACCCTTATTCCATCAGTAGTTGTGAAATTGTAGCCCCATTAAATTAGCCACCCCTACTATCCCAAGTAAGAAACTAATTAATACCCCAAAATCTCGGTCGCGACAGTGCGAGAATTATGTTTAAGGTGAGCAAATTTTTTATGCGTATCGAATTTAACATTGTCTGTCGAGCCATTAAGTTATCATAATTTACATTCTTCTAAATATTCTGTCGAGCTAGAGTTTGGAGTACTGTGAGACGGGATAAGGAGCGGTTAGGGTTAGGAATTCAATATTTTGGGAAGAAGAAAGTAATTAAGAAAATGGAAAGAATGGAATCTTAAGGAAATATATTAATAATATTTTGGGGATTGGAAGCTTCATTGCAGGTAACAGACCATACCAAACATCCGCCCACGACCAACCACCCAATATATACCAAACCTCATTTATTACAAACCTCATCCCTTCAACCCTTCTCAATATAATTCTCCCCGGTAACAATCATCTTTTCCGGCCACGCAAAATGGAAAGCGCAGTTCAAGATTCTCACCGTGACGGCGAACAAGTTTCTGCCGAGCCCACCGTGGAAGCGGCTCGGGAGATTTTGTCTCAGTTAGAGCTTTCTCAGGGAGTTGATGGTGAAGAGATCGAGTACGAGGAAAACGAGGACGATGATGAAGACGAGGAAGACGAGGAAGACGAGGAAGAATTTTCGTTCGTTTGCCCCGGAGACGACGCCGCCCAGATTGCCGCCGAGGACGCGTTCTTCAACGGCCAGATCCGCCCAGTTTACCCGCTGTTCAACAGAGATCTCCTACTGGGGGCCAGCGATTTTGAGGGCCTGGACGAGAAGCCGCCGGTGGGGAATGTTTTCGTCGAGACGGGCGAGGTGACGTCATCGGGAAACGACGACGCCGACGCGGAAGGGCTATCCTGCGAGTGGTCGGGGAAGGCGGTGGCGGCGGCCGGACCGGACGGTTGCAAGAAGAGCAACTCGACCGGGTTTTCCAAGTTCTGGAGATTCCGAGATCTTCTCCACCGGAGCAACAGCGACGGGAGAGACGCGTTCGTGTTCCTGAACAATCCGGCGCCGTCGACGAGCGCCGCCGGGAAGACAGAAGAGAAATCCTCACAGAAAAAACACACCGGCAAGGCTAAAGTCAACGGCGACACCGCCGGAGAACAGAAGAAGAAGAAAAGTAAGAAACAACTGTCGGCTCACGAGCGTTACATGAAAAGCAAGGCGAAAGACGAAGATCGCCGGCGGTCGTACCTACCTTACCGGCCGGAGTTGGTCGGGTTCTTCACCAACGTCAAAGGTGGTTTAACTAGAAACGTACACCCGTTCTAAGAACCAAACGTACTAGTTTAACCATAATTAGTTTATTTTTTTTTTTCATTTTATTTTAGTTTTCTTATTGGAAATAGCTTAAAATTTTTGATATGCTTATTAATCTTTGTAAATCTTGGTCAACTATATATGGCTTTAATATTTTTGGAACTCTTATAACTCTTCTTTTTCTACCTCCATCACAAATTCACAATCATATCCTCAATTAACCATTAATGTTTTCAAACTTGTATCGATAAACATTAAAAACTATACTAATCGACAAATATTAAAAACTATACCGTCTAATAGAATACATAACGTAACGTATTAAATATGTAATTAATTATAACACGTCTTGTCTGTTGACATTTTTACGATAACTTATTTTCATGATGTGTACAAGTAGTTATAACATATGTAGTAAATGTGTTTAATGGTATAAATATCTAACCAATTTGACACAATAACAATCAAGGAAGGCTTACATCAAAGGGCTGGTAAGAAGTCAAAAAAAAAAAAAAAAAAAAAAAACTTTACTCAAACTTTTTATTTATTTATTTATTCATTTTTAGAACATTTTAAAATATTGTTAATTTTTTATACAATACAAATAATGTATTTTCCATGCTACCCATTTAATAAGTTAAAAGAAAGTAAAGAAGTTATTCACTTTTTATGGGCATAAATCGAAAGATATATACTTTTATTGGATTACTAGTATTTTTTTTATGCGCGATGCACAAAAAATAGGTGCCCAATATTAATACATTATATTAAAATTTAAATTTATTTAGATTTTAGATATTTAAATTATTCTAAATAATAATAATAATAATAATAATAAGGAATTTTTTGGAATAAGGTTCAAATTGGCCACTGAACGTAACCTGAAAATGCAATTAGGCCACTGAACGAAAAAAAAGTGCAATTAGGCCACTGAACACTCCAAAAATGTGCAATTTCACCTGACAGTAGGTTACCCTCAATTTTAGCAGGTTATCTGCTTACGTGGCAGCTGAGTTGTCATTTTTAATAAATTTTAAATATTTTTTAATAAATTTTAATAATAAATTTTTATTTAAATTTTTTTTAAAAAAATAAAAACGACTTTATTTTATTTTTTATTTATTTATTTTTCAATTTTTTATAAAATTTATTATTAAAATTAATTATTAAAAATTATTTAAAATTTATTAAAAATGCCAACTCAGCTGCCACGTAAGCAGGTAACCTGCTAAAATTGATGGTAACCTGCTATCCGGTGAAATTGCATACGTTTGGAGAGTTCAGTGGCCTAATTGCACGTTTTTGGAGAGTTCAGTGGCCTAATTGCACGTTTTTGGAGTGTTCAGTGGCCTAATTGCACTTTTTTTCATTCAGTGGCATAATTGCATTTTCAGGTTACGTTCAGTGGCCAATTTGAACCTTATTCCTAATAATAATAATGTAAATCATTTTTATAAATTTGATATTTATATTTTATGTAATAACTAACATATAACTCAAATATATAATGTTTATATATTATTATGAATGAAGAAGAAAAGAAAATATATGGTGGATGCATGTGCATGGTAACAATAGTGGAAAAGATAACGGAAGTTATAACGGTAGGGGTATGTTTGTCTAAAATATTTTAATGTACAACCTTTATAGCATAATGTACAAAAAAAAAACTTAACGGAGAAAACGGACATAAATCAGGGGTATAACTTTCATTCGCACTTATTATGTTTTTAGATTATTAAAATCAATTGTTATACCATGGACCAAAGTCCACTTTGTATTGTGAACCAGTCCAAAACGTATTCAGATTATGCATGTTTGACAATTGACTGATAGCTGATAGTTGATTGTGTTAACTAATACTCCGTAGTTGATATCTACTTGTGTTAGTTGATTTAACTAGTTGATAGGACTAGTTGTTTATAAAAGCGTGTTTGATAAATTAGTTGTTTATAATTAGCTAATAATATGTAAAATGACTAATAGGACATAAGTGTATTGTTTTATTTATTTAACTATTGTTAAATTATTTATATATATATATATATATATATATATATATAATTTTTAAAATAATTTTAGTTTGAGTTTAGGGTCAAATTATAATTATTAAAAAAATGTGTAGGTTATGCTGCTAAATAAAAATAAATTAAAATAAAAATGAAGCTAAGAGCATTACCGATGGAAGTTTTTAAGTGATTTTTTTTTTTTTTTTTTTTTTTTTTTTTTTTTGAGGGAGATGGTGAGTTGGAGGCAAGAAAAGGGAAGAAAAAGAAAAAAAAAAATTGCAAGAGGGATGGTTGTGCTGGTGCGCATTGTGCACACCAATTGTGCCTAGTCGAATGCATGCACTTCATGTGCTCGATGGGCGCTTGCACTTTACGTGCCAGATAGGCGCATGCACTTCACATGCCCAATAGGCACATAATATTGCATTTTTGACAACCTATTTCAAAAAAAAAAAAAAAAAAAAAAAAAAAAAAAAAAAAAACTTGTCTGTTGAGGATGCTCTAAAACCCATTTAATTATTCTCCTCATTCCCCAAAAGCATTAAAACCCTCAGAATTATCAACGGCAAAACTCAACAGCAATGACAACGATGAAAATTAACGACAACAAAAATCAAATGTCAGATTTCAAAAATCATGCGTAACGCTAGCTATAACACGATATTCACCAAAATCAATCCATGACAAAATTGATGGTGTCAACATTTTAAAATATTATTCATTTTTTGCAAAATAAACCGAACAGAAAAAATATTAATTTTCTAACTTCCAGTCGAACACCATAAAATAAACATATTTTTCAAAAAAAATGAGTGATTTTGCAAAAGACATTTTTCTAAGCTTCCAAATGGACCAAAAATTGAAAAATTTTACAACGAAAAAAAAAAACAGTGTACTGCATTCTTACTGTTATAAAGAGAAAGAGCAATGATAATTTTGTACATAACTATCATTTTATGTACAAAAACGTTATTGTCTTTTTCTATTATCTCTTCGGTATTATAGAACTTTCCCGTAATTATATTTATCTGGCGTAAATTTGTATGTACAAAAATAATTTTTTTTTTTTTTTTAAAAAGGCATCAAAGGTACTTCCCACGTTTTGGCATTTAATAATAAAGTTGACAAGCAAAGTCTGAAAGCATCTTGAGCACAAATGAATTGGAGATGGTCCATCCACATGGGGCAGCTGATTGCGCTGCAACAATGCTGACCGCTGAGCCTCCCGCAGATCACAACAGCATATGCTACCAACAAAAGGGACCATTTCACTGCTAAGTTCAACAGAACTTGCCCCTGCTGCCTTCTTTGTGGTACCACTTGCACCATACCCACCTGCATGCCAACGTAAAATTATTGACTGTATTGAAGCATGTGCTCCATCTCAACTAAAAGTCTAAGCTGATAGTCGGAATGCACATTTATGTTTATATATTATATGTTCAACACACCCCCTCACGTGTACAAGCTCTAAGCAACACATGGACAGAGGACAGTAATCTCTTTTCCTTCAGCATGGAGTTGAAACAGTACATGTGCTCCATCTCAACTAAAAGTTTAAGGTGATAGTTGGATTGCACATTTATGTTTATATATTATACGCTCAACGCTGCTGGCGCCACCCGAGCTGGCCTGGCAACTAGAGCGGTGAACCACAAGAGAATGCACCAAATGAGTATCAAAGCATTGCAGTGAAACAATAGTATATGGTTCTAGGAAGCAAGTTGAGAAACGTACCCTCATCTTCTGTTCAAGTGCTGGTCGTCGGTGAATAGATCGGTCCCCTCTCGAGCTCTTCTGATCTTTCTTTGACCATTTATTAAGCATGCCTGCCATGTCCTCCCAAATAGCATCCACACAAAATAAATCATTGAAGGATCTATCCAGGCATAAGTTCATTACCCAATCTTAATCACACCATTCATATACTCCTATACTTGATGTTCTCTAGCCCCAAAATGGGTCAAATCATGTCAGTCAATTATTTTGAGGGCATGACACCTCTACATCTGAAAAAAGCTACACTACGTAGTACGTACACATATTATTGCTTCATCTTAGGTCACATATCTCGAGCCGAAGATTTTGATTAACATAGACATTGGAGCAGTCCTCGTAAATGGAGCTTCCGTCAGCTGGTTCTCTATGAGGATGGAACCCTTTCTCCGAGCAATCCTTGAGGATTCTCATCCCACCGTTTGATAATCTGAATATTCCATAATCCCTGAAATGTCAACAATTAAAGGTAAACATATAAACACGAAAACTCTAGAGCTTCTTATATGCAAAGTTGTTTATGTATTATATTGCACTATATTCAAGATGCCAAGACTTGGGACTATTTTACCATTGAAAATTGGGCTGAATCTCTACATCTCAAAGTATGTTGTAATCTTTAACTCGTCAATCTTAGTATACCTCAATCATAATTGCTCTGGAAACTCGTGTTTTAAAATGTTTGAAATTTTAGTAATGTGAATTCACACGTTTTTTGGCAGTAATCTCTGTCTAAACTTCAAATATCGAGCTAGCAATGAACCAGAAAAAGACCTTGATTTGTCAGTTGGTGCCATGACAATGCCGACAGCCTCTGGGACCATTACCTTAAAATTGAAAATCAGTAGGTAAGACATTGTCCTAAATGGAGAGAGAGAGAGAGAGAGAAGAAGAAGAAGAAGACAGAATTCTTTAAAGATTTTTATGTCCTTGATAACTAAGAAAATTCAACATCTTATGAATGCAAGGAGTAATGCAATAATATAGGAAAAGATTTAATACTAGCTAATTTAATACACATGAACATCATATCATTGCCCAAGCCATTTTAGTACTTTGATGACGGGAAACCTAAAAGCCCCTAAAAGTATGCCATGAAACCAATAATAAAGCAAGAAATTAAGAGATAGCCTCATGTTAAGTAATGACAAAACTCAAAGCAAAAATTGTCATTATTGATTTGTTCCCGGGCTATTCTTACTAGAATATTCTGGTCAATAAGTTATTCAAAGGGAGACGATATTGACGTTTTTTTTTGTCAGTCCGCAATTTCCACCCTTATCTGTATACTTTGTGCACAAGGAGTTTTCATCACCTCTAATCAATTTTTTGGGCTTTGGGTCTCCCAGTGACCCCCCATGTGATGGATCTCAGTGCTGGATTATGCTTACTTCCTAGGGGTCACCCATCTTGTGACTACTGTAAGTCAATTAAGCACGCCTTAACCACAGAGTTCTTTGGCTGTTTGGTTGTCATATCCTACTTAAAACCAATTGGTGATAAGTGGGTGGAAATTAGCCATTTAACCTCACAAGGCCACGCCTCGAATCGAGCAGTAGGGGCTGAACTCGACCAACCCGGCCGATGCCCAACACCATGTCTTCACCCTGCCGCTGGAACAAGACTTCCAGGGTGACCCTTGAACCATTGAGCTAAGCCCCGCGGGGCACGATATTGAAATTTTAGATAGTCCAAGTATCTAGATTTCAGAATAGATGATTTTGTCCTGCCCGCTATCATATTAATCAAGATTTCGCAATTACCAGAAACACGGGAGTAAGAGTTACCTGATATGAATATTGAGTGTGCAAATCAATTGATGACATGAAACAACTCTGAGACGGATGTGTCTGGAGACATAAACAAGGATTACATGTTACTCAATGCCCGTAAACAATAATGGCTCATAAAAATTATGTTTCCAAGTACATCCATGTTAGATAAATATCTCAAATCAACATAGCCTCGATCTACCTTGATTTGTCCATTCAATTGTATCAAGCATTAAATTCATAGAGAACCCTCGGTCTAGCATATCTTTATTGACTCTGTACCTCTCCGTCTCACATATCCTAGTACTACAATGTTATCACTCTTTCTAAATGGGCATCCAAAGGTGTACCTCTAAAAAAATTTTAACCATCTTAATATATTTTCTCGCTCAGTTACAACAATCTTACTGGACAACAAGAAAAGTAGAAATTTCCAGTCAATTTATCAAAGTTTTGCAAGTTTGAAGCCTGACTGGAAGTTGATCCAGAATATTTTCCAGAAAGACTTCCCAATACACGGAAAAAAGAGAAATTGAGGAATTGAAGAAGACTTGCATGAATCCATCCAATTGGGAAAAGGCCCTGTTGGTTTTGTATGGAAAATATCTCCTCCTCATGTAAAGCTTGGCACTGTAAAATAAGTGCAGTTAAGCAATAGGCACTAGTCTCGTAAAATCCTATACATACATATATCCATGCATCCATACATAAATATACATACATACATTCACACACACACACACATTCATATATTGAACCTTAAACCAGTAGCAGATCTTTCATATTCAGAGGCTTACAGAATTGGATTCTGATTCTTGCTTTGGTATTATCAGAGTGGTCACATAGAAGGTTCCTTTTTTCTGCATATATGTGAACGAAGAAGTTAGACCAGTGAGTAGTAACTCTTACCAAGTTGCAAGATCTTCAACGAGAGAGAAGAAACAACAGCAGAGATTGGCTAACGTCAAAAACGTTAAGCTAGAGAATCCATGGTCTTGAAAAGACATGATCAAGCATCACTCCTATTCTTATAGACTTTTTTTTGCAAAAAATTATCACCCAATCTCACCAAAAATAGTATCCCCTCCAGTGCAACATCTGTCATATAATGACTTGTTAGGATCAAGCGCTTACCACTACGCCAAAAGTTATAGCTCGTAGCGAAGGCGCAACTTTATTTCCTTACAGATCACCATCACATTTTCGAGAGGCAGGGTGCCAGGGTGCTGGACTTAGACCTTTACCGGCCTCCGCCCAACAATCCCCCTAGCCACCAATTGATGGACTTGGCCCTTTACCGGCCTCCACCCAATGACTTTACATTCTAAGTCAAGATTTAGTTTTCTTTCGTACAACAATTTAATCAACCAACATATGTTTGGATTTGATACAATCTACTGGATAGAACATGTAGTGAATATCAGAGATCTTACCAAAGAGGCACCAAGAACTCCACAGGTCTCTAAATCCTTGCTGGTGTTACCACTGGCAAGGTCGAGAAACATATCCATCAACCGTGTTGGCTAAGAAAAACCAAAATGCAACATTACAATGCATTTCATTGTTATATGTGATTGAAGGCACACTGGTATTTTACTGCAATGGAGAAGAGAACCGCTAATACAAATAACTGCAAACAAGTCTAGTCTAGTTATAATTACATACTAAATGCACATCTTTCAGAGCTTTAGATGCTTCCTGTTCATTGCCCGAGGAAGTTGAAGGACTAGCAGATGAACCCGTGTCTGAGTGTAGCAAGGGTTCAGCTCCATACGGTAAAGTGTGCACAAGGGAGATTACAGGAGATGGCGACGATTGTGTAACTGTTTTTACATCAAATTGGTGATGACACACCCCATAAGCCATTAAGTTAATGGAAAAAAGGATTTAGGTTCGGATGCCACTATGCCAGAACTTCCAAACGAGGTTGTGTAGCCTTTTGTTGTATGGTTACGCTGAAGTCTAGAAATCTACAAAGTCCGGAACAAACATTGGTTACCACAACATTTAGCAATTTCAAACAAAACATAAAAAAAACAAATGTATTCAGCAGCAAGTTACTCTATAGCAGATTACAAAAACTAAATTTGAGAAAAGGTTTGTCCTGATCTATTGTCCCTCACACGTTTCTAGGAAGGAAGTGCATATTCTATATAAAATTTGCATTCACAGTTCTTGTACCCTTAATACAACTATACAAGCACCCCTATATGATCAGTGTTCTATCCTTATCCTCCACGAAATTCATTTCCTTTTTTATACAAGGGAGTGTGAAGGGCTAGTTTTCTTATCGCAAGTATGTCTCAATCCACTGAGTATAACTGATAAATTCATAGCCCTAATATATACACTACTGTTGCGATTCCATCCACAAATATTGATGGATCTTGGCGTTGCACTATGCTTACTTCCCAGTAGATCACCCATCTTGGGCGTTGATTATCTGGTTGTCTTAAAACCAATTGGTGATAAGTAGGTGTGCATTAACCATTTAATAACATCCCTCAATGGCCACAGGGCTACATCTCGAATCGAGCAGGGCTGAACTCTGCCAACCCTACCGACTACAATCAAATATCTCTTGGCTCCTTTGTCCTTCCGGACATCCATACAAATTGAAACCATACAAAGAAGATTAGCATGACCATGATATAAGGATGACAAGCACAAATCTTAGCTCTTTACAGTTATTCTCAATTTCAATATTTTCTTCAAAACCTAAGCTTTTAATTTCATTTCCAGCTTTACTTTCCAGAATCACAATTCTTGAACTTTAAAACTGATCATCAAGAAGCAAGAGCAAAAGCTCAAGGATCTTAGCATTTACATCAGTTCCACTACTCAACTTATTATTCGATGTAAATAAATTTAAATTACTATTATAACAATTGAAGCTAATCTCTCCAAAGGTCAAAGAAATTAAAAAGAAAGAAACAAATAACATGATGCAACTATATGGATTTATGGAAACAGTCAAGAAATAGGATGCATAATCAAAGTAGCTGAAAGATGATTACAATTATGTTGCAAATTACAGAGAAGAAAGAATCAAGTCAGGACCTTACCTGGCTCCGGCTATGGAGGGGCAATTCTCTTATTCTCCGCTCTCTGGATTTTCCCCTTATGTGTTTTCCACTCCCTGCAGTTTTTGAAGGACAGGATAATAGTGGCATGTCGTTTTCTAATTACTCCATTGTCCACTCTACCAAATTAAGTTGAAATATAAAATGATGTGCAAAATTTCAATTAATCTTGTAGTAGTGAGGTTATGGGATGCTGTAGGTAAAAAATAAATAAATAAATAAATAAATAATAATAATAATAATAATAATAATAATAATAATAATAATAATAAGGGATAAAAAAGTCAAATATACTCTTCAACTATTTATGGAAGGCAATTTATCCCTTCAACTAAAAAAAAAAACTTTAATTAGGTATTTGAACATTGAAAAGATTAATGCAATTAATAAGCTTCTTTTTTTTTTTTTTTTACCGATTACTATCAAGTAATCTTTTTTTAAACACTCATGATTCAGTTCGATTGTACTTTCTTAATCTGGTAATAGATGTGTCATCACATTATATTGTAGTTGATGGTGTAAATACTCTCGGGTATTAGTATTCGTATATGCTATTATATAGTTTAATGTGGTAGCTCGGGCGAGTTATAAGATCGGTTGTGTATCTTAGCTTGGATAGAAGATCCAAGAGTCGGAGGCTCCCAAACAGGGCCGTCCCTGGGCATGTCTGCCCAGGGCAGGCGCACAGGGCCCCCAAAATTTTGGGGGCCCCTTAATTAAAAAAAAAAATATAGCATATATAGGCTTTTGCTGACTTCAACCAATTAAAGAAAGCCCAATGTTAGTGAACCTTTCTTTAAAAAACCAAAGCCCACTTGGCCACTTTCACACCAACATACGTAACAAATATCTAAATTAACCTAATCTAGAACCTATTAACTATATAACCTATATTAACCTAATCAAAATTCTAAAGTTTCACAAACAGAAAGTCGGAAAGAGAAATTTTCAAAAAAAAAAAAAAAAAAGTCGGAAAGAGAAATCACGGAAGAGACGAGACTCAAACTACAACAAATTGCTTACTGCCTAACAATTTAGGTATTTGAACTTTTATTCTTTTAATTTGAGAGTGCTATTTGTGAATTCTAGGTATTTGAATTAATTCAAATATTGAATTTTTTTAATTTGAATATTTGTGTATTTGAACTAGATTAGGTAATTTAAATTTGGGAAAGACGACAGATTCTACTCGTGTGATACTGATTCTCCAATTCTCAAACTCTCAAGTTCTTCAATTCTCTTGATAGGTAATTAAAATTACGTATTATTTTACAATTCTTGTTTATTGTTTTATTTACATGACTTAATAATTCTGATTTCAGAATAATATATTCAAGAATTTGTTTCTTGATTAATTATATATTCATAGGTTTTTAAATAAATTTTTATTTTTCCTTAGGATTTTATGTCTTCTAGAAAATATTCATCTGGATTTTTGAAGACAACTTTTTGAACAATTATTATTTATATATAAAAATTAATTGAAAAAGGGGCCCAAATTCAAATATTGCACAGGACCCCAATTTTTATTGGAACGGCCCTGCTCCCAAACATGTCAGTATAAGAGAGAGGAGAATGGAAAAATCCAATCTACAAGCATTTAGCGTAGTATTTATAGAAGATTGAAGGGGAGACATGCCGGGAGGCCGGCATGCACACAACGTGTCCTTCATGCACTCAGTGGTCTCAAAGACTAAGGAGAAGCATCCACGTATAGCGGAATATATATCTGATTGGCCAATGACTATCTGGCTCGATTCAAGCGTTATTGTCAATGTTCATCTTTAAGGGCTTAACACACAGGTTCGGGGCCCAGCTAAGCACTCGCATTGGGACCGATCACAAAAGAGTAAGAGTAGAAGCTCATTAAGCTTATGTATACTGTATAATCAAGAACTATTCAATAACAATAAATTCTTTCATAATTATTATTCTTCCTAGATTTATTGTTCTCATCGCCCTCATGCTTTGCGTATCATATTTTTTTTGTTATAAAGGCACAAACCTTGAAGGTTTCATACATCATTGTACTACTACTCCGATCCAAAGAAGTATACCAAATGATATATAGCCACATAATTCAACCCTTGAATGGAGATCTAAGTTGGCGGCCTATAACCAATGTTGAAGAAATCTTGGCCTTCTACCTAGGAGAATAACTGGTAAACCAAAGAAGAAAATGAATCATGAGCCTAATGAGCTCCCTTCAAGAAAGATGCCACGACAAGGAAGAATCATGACATGTTATTCATGTAAACACCAAGGTCATTCAAAGAGATTTTGTCTAACTAGTGTAGGTTCACCTTCAATTGATACAACGCTAGCATCAACTTCTATATATGCCTAGGCAACCGAAAAAAGAATAAAAATAAAGTGGTAGAATTGGTATTTACAAAATGTAATGAGTCATAATGTAATGAATATTTACTATAAGTTTGGTGATTTTTACTATAATTGTTATGATACGACTATTATAGCACGTTTGGTTCACGGAATGAATTTTGAGGTAATATGAATGTTATTCCATAAGAAATGAAATAGCCAAGGAATAGAATAGGAATTGTATTCTATTATTTGGTTCGCGGAAGGAATAGACTTTAAGAATTATATATACAATGTTTGGTTGATTTAAGGAATAGAAATGATATATGTTTTAAAAGACATAAATACCCTTATAAAAATATGTGGTGGTGGTGGCGGCGGCGACGGTGGCGGTGGTGATGACGGCGGCGATGGTGGCGGTGGTGGTGTCGTGGCGGTGGTGCTAGTGGTGGTGGTGGTGGTGATGGAACATATGACAGATAATTTTGGCGATATAGGAATTTTTGTATTGTCCCTATTTTGGAACATTTTGTTTTCCTCTAGCCAACAAAGCTTTTGGTATTATTTGTGTTATTAACTTGTAATGACATAGCTTTTTAGCTTACAAATATGTGATGCATAAGACACCATTTTTTGTCTTATCAGTTATGATATAGTATAATATTCTCACTCTTTTGGTCTTGTTGATTATGATAGTGATTTCATATAAATATAGTCCATTTTAACATAACAACACAAAATTGGATTATTCTACAATAACAATTTTTGCACATAACATAATATATAACACAAAATTCTCATTACCGACTGAACAATTCATTCCAAAAGCCAAATACATACTAATTCTTACAAAAGAACAAACAAATTTAAATTATTATCCTTCATTTGCCCCAAGCATAGCAACATTCTTATTTGCACCCAAAAAAAAAGCAGCATTCTTAAGTCTTAACCCAACTACACCTACAAGGCTACAACAACTACACTTGTAACTTGTAAGGGCATCTTCAATAGTGGGAATTTTGGTGTGGATTTTGAGGAGTTTTGTAAGTGTGATTAGGAAAGAGAAAATAGGTAAGGGAGGTTTAAAAAAAAAAATCAAATGTCAGCAAATTAGATCTTGGGACCCACACTTTCTTCCATCCAAGCCTTGCTCCTTTCTTATTTTCTTCGTAGGACCCACACAAATGAGTGAAATGACATAAAGCTGACAAAAATTTTCCTCCTTGCATGAAAAAAATACCCACAAAATCTACTCCTCCCATTTGTCCAAAACTTAGCAAATGTGATTTTACTATTCCAAAATTCATGAATGATCCCCCTATTGGAGATGCCCTAAGCATCTTTAACTAATTTCCCATATCTAGTGCACCATTTCTTGATACTTTCAATCTCTACCACTCTGATCTCTTTGGGCAGATGACATATTATAATTAAACCCTAATCTCAAATAACACAAAATCATTAACTCAAATCTAACCTTCCGACAATCGAAAAACTTTCGACTACTTTCACGAGCTATGCATAATGGCTATTTCAACCCATATTTACAATACAATGTTGGCTTTGATAAGTGTCTAATTATTCATATTTTCACATTGAACTTAAATATTATTTTTCTTGCCATTTGTTGTAATTTTTCCCAAAGTGTTTCATTATTTGATTTCTTTGTGTTTTTAGGTGTAATTCTTAATGGTTGAGATGAATTGAAATTTTTTAGAGTATTTTGGATGCATTTAGAGTTAATGGAGGTCAATGAGAAGCTAATGAGGTGAATGTATATAACACCTCTTGGAGAGCCAATGAGCAATGTTTTTAATAGTTTTGATAATATGGGCACACCTAGGTAAAAGTGTAAGGAGTTACAATTCTCACAAAACACAACCACTTCTTAGTACTTCAATCATATCTAATCATATGAATGTTTAAATTGAGTTATATTGTGCCATTGTAAAGCCAACTCAAAAGGTTATACCTTTTTACCGAGAGTCTAGAAATTATGGATCCACAGTATAGAAATTATGGATCTACAGTATATAAATTATGAATATAGATTCGTGCGCACCATGCAAGGCGGCACGTGCTCACAGCATAACGATGGTTTGAAGTTGGTGAAAAAGATAATGGTCCTGTTTGGTAAATGGCTGTTAACTGATAGCTGATAGCTGTTAGTTGATTGTGTTAATTAGAATGTATAACTAGTTGATAACATTAGCTGTTGTAGAAAAGTGTTTGGTAAATTAGCTGTTAGCTGATAGCTGTTTGATATTTTTTTTTTTCTAAAACAGCTAATTGAAAAAGTTGTTTGGAGTGACTTTTTGAATTTTAGTATTTTAGAGTTACAAAAAACTAATAAAACAAACATTTATATTGATATTTTAACTAAATTAAACAATTAATAGTGATAAAAAAAATCAAAATTGACCTATAGACCAATTTTTTACCGACCAGGGTCAATATTACACTTTGATGTGCTTGAAGCTGTTGAAAAAGATCTTGAAGTCGACGATGACATAGTTGGACAAACTACAATTGTTCTTCTCTCACTCGATTTCATAAAATATAGAATATTGCGACGCTACATACAAAGAAAGATATATAATGGGTTAAATAATAAAGGAATAAAGTAAAGAGTAATACTACATGTACTATCACTTTGTACTCTATTTTGTATTTCTTGTTGAAGTGTCATTATTTGATTGGTTTAAATAATAAAGTGAGTCACAATTTTTTTTCATTCACTTGAATTTATTAATACACATGGTGGGAGTTTATACTCCATGAGAATGAATATATCATTTTCCTAAAGTAAATAGAGTTTAAAAGAACAAATAAAGTAAATACAGATGTACCAAGGACCTTGTGGTCCACTGATACCAAGTTGTTTCTTTATGTGGGAGGTGATGAGTTTTTAAGCTTCGGTGGAGGCGATTATGGTGACATTTGATATAGTAACTTCTAATGTTGGTATGTTGCTCAAAGCAATTTTTTTCAATCACATTTTTGAGAAAGTTATTTTGAATGTAATCCGCTATCAGCTAACTTATCAAATATCTTTCTATAATTAACTAATAAATATAATTAGCTATCAGCTAATTTATCAAGTATCTTTCTATAATTAACTAATGCTATCAGCTAGTCAAACTCACTAATCCCATCAGTTAACAATATTTATCAAGCACCCAAAGTGAATGGACAAATTTGGAAAATTAGAAGAATTGCACGAAATAAGATTATTTGAGGAACCAATTACTTTTTTTTTTTTTTCTGAGTTTGGTAACCCAATTAAAATTTTTGGTATAATTCAGTGATCTAATTGACCATTATTCTTCTTCTTCTTAAAATTGCGTTAAATTATTAAAGTTTTAACAAAAAAGTTCTGATCAAAATTGACTAAAATAGAATAATAGAGAGGCCAAATTGATAATTTGCCAATATTTATTACCTCTGGCTCTCCGATTCTGAGCCTCCAGTATTACGCGTTAATCTCAGGCTTCAGCTTCCCCCCTCTCTTGCTCTCTCTCTCATCAGATCCCTCTTCCAAAAAGTTTTCTCAGGTAAATAGCAGTCATCACTTATACATACAGATTCATATATGCTGTCTTTAGATTTCTTACATTTATGCAACTATTTTATGATTGTTTTCTTTAGTATGCTTCTCCCAATATCAATTTGTTCGTGATTTCGTAAACTGCATGTGTTTGGTAAAAAGGCTAGATGCTTCGCTTTTATTGAAATAATTGGTGCTTTTAATCCAAAATCAGTTGAATTCCGGTTTCATTTGAGGTTCGTCACTACCAGTTTAGAGCTCTGTGATTGCCGATGAATTTTACGTGGAATTTCTATTGAAGTTCTTTTGTTTTACTGTCTGATCTGAAGATCGACGAAAGATAGCACTGTGATCTCTGAGATTTTGTGTAATTCTGCTTTTGTAAATTGTAATTGTAAGTTGAAGATGAGATCCATCAAAAGCTGGTTAATTATTGTCTAGGCGTGTGTGTGTATTAGAGTTAACTTTCATGTTTTATGCAGATTTATTTGATCATTAAATCTATATATATATCCTACATCTCTGATCTGCCTATGCAAGGGAAGATTTGAATTTTTAATAATGTTTTAGCTCTGAGGATTTGGCTTTGGTTTTGATGTAATGGTATGCAGGGGTCATCAGCAAGGAGAAATGGGGCTCACCTTCACCAAGCTCTTCAGCCGGCTTTTTGCCAAGAAGGAGATGCGTATTCTAATGGTTGGTCTTGATGCAGCTGGTAAGACCACTATTTTGTACAAGCTCAAGCTTGGAGAGATCGTGACTACCATCCCTACAATTGGTATCCTCTCTTGCCTAAATTCTTTTTGAAGTTTCTTTTCTTTTGAATGGTTATGTATGACTCTGACGTGCTTCTTTATATCCACATTCTAAAACATGAGAAAGTTGGTTGTTTCTTGATATGATATCCTGGTTTTCATGCGGTACCAAAATGTAGTTCTTTTTCTTTGGTATAACCCTGGGAATTCATTAATTTTCACCTTTGTTCTACCCTTCTTTTATGTGGTGTGTAAGTTAGTCGCATACAATGGAGTTTCATTGAAGTCAAATCTTCTTGTATCAAAATGATGAGTGATCAGTTCCAATTATGGTTTTTTGTCTTCAACTATCAATACTGACTGATTTTCTACAGGTTTTAATGTGGAGACTGTTGAGTACAAGAACATCAGCTTCACAGTTTGGGATGTCGGGGGCCAGGACAAGGTACATTTACTTTGTTTTCATCTCATTAGAATAATTTGTTGCAGTAAATTATACTCCGTATATATTAAATCTTGAAATTGATCTATTATTTGGAGAGATAATAATAAACATCTTTTGATTCTTTTGGCTTTTGCTTCCTTTCATGGGGTCTTCCTTATCTTCCTTGTTTCATGGTATGGCTAGCATTTCTTATAAGTCTCTTCAATATCTCTACTTTTTCCCTTTTTTCCAGATCCGCCCATTGTGGAGGCACTATTTCCAGAACACTCAGGGACTTATCTTTGTCGTTGATAGCAATGACAGAGACCGTATTGTGGAGGCAAGGGACGAGTTGCATAGGATGTTGAATGAGGTATGATTCCTTCCACCTTGTTGGTATCCCATTATATTGTTGCAAGAAAACACATTTCAGCTTCTGAAGCTTGGAACTCTATGATTCATAATCACCTCATTTAGCTAAGAGATTCTTCAGTTATAAGATAAAATTAGTGATATTGATTAAGACTTAATAAGGGGAATGGTCATTTCTAACAGAGTTTATATCAAAGTATATTGGGCTTCACCAAGAGTAAGTGATTATCCCCACCCTTTAGAGTTCTAAAGTTGTGAGCTTATTTAAAAAATCTAATTGTTTTTGCTATTGATATGATTTATTTATATAATTTTTTTTTCAATTATTACACAATGTTGTAAGCAGGCATGAATGCTTTTACGGATATAAATAATTAGTGCCATGTCAAAATGGTTTGTGCCATAAGGTTCTACTTCTTCAAACGAGCATCTTTGCATTATAAGTGTGTCTTTACTCTTTAAAAGTAGGAGTAAGGAACTGCTAAAGCACCTGTATGTGATGGGGTGGAGTGTGTTAGTTTGTTAAAAACTTGTTGGTCTAGAAAGGAACTCCTCTGGTGACTCTTTCATTGTAAGTTTGTGCTGTGCATTGCTGTGTAGCTAATTATTATTCCTATTTTACTA